GGGCCGGGCGCCGCCTCCGGGACGCAGGTGGAGCGGGCAGGGCGCGGGCACCATGAGCAGCGGCGCCAACATCACCTATGCCAGCCGCAAGCGGCGCAAGCCGGTGCAGAAAACGTGAGTGACGGGCGGCGGGCCGGCCAGCTGGCGCGCTCGGCGGGTGCGGGAGGTCCCCACGCGGGCTGCCAACCGGGAGCCAGGTCCAGTCCATGCGTGTAAAACCCATCCCCGCGCCGGGCACCGCACCCTCGCAGCTCGGTGACCTTCGCTGGCCCTGATTCGTTGACAGGTCTGACCTACCTAGTGCCGCTCTGGATTATTTCGCTAAGCCTGTCTTGAAATCCTTCTCCCCTCTAGATCGCCACCTTGGTGAGCTGTAGAGGACGTGTAGGATCCTTGGTAGACGACAGCTCGCCGCGGCGGCGAGGTGCTGGGTTTGAAGGAGCGGGGTCCTGTGCCTCTGAAGGAATTCCTTTCTGTTCTCAACAACTAGCTTTCTGTTTGCTATCTCGTTCGCTTACGAGGCAGCCGTTTTGCAGCGCTCAGTAGAGGAGCAGAGTGTGCGGCGGGCAGGTGTCCCCGTGGCTTGGTGGCATTCTTAGCCACCCTTCGGTGACGCTTTCTTCCTCCTTTTGGAGTGGTTTTAGGGCCTATAAAATTAAAAGGAGAAGAAAAAGAAGAGGAGGAGGAGGAACTGGACTTACTTATAAATTATTCTCAGTATCTACCTGTAATTCCTTTTCCCTCACTTAGAAAGTCCTGCCAATTCCAACAGGGTGATTACAGTCTTTGGACTTTGTTTCGATGTGTGAGATGGGAAATACTTCTAAATAATTTTCTCCAGAAAAAGAGACCCATGCTTGAGACAGGTTTCCATTTAGGAGTTGGCTGTATTGTATGCATTCATTCACAATTATCTTGGAGTTTCTACAAGTTACCATTGCCCAGTTTTTCATAAATAGTTTTAGGAACACTACCAGACAATCCATAATGTGCATTTTGCTTAAAACTTGACTTATCTATCACACAGGTGAACCAGAAAAATAACATTTTAAGATTTATATATTGTTTACAACTAGTTACTAGCTTAGAAGTTGGGTTATTTGTGAATTTTAATTTCCTTTAAGAATGTCATCTGTCCTAGTTTCTCATATTGTTAGGGTCCTCGAGAAGTCCCCTAAAGACCACTAGTCATGATGCAGTCAGTAAGAGCGTTTATTTATACTACACGCATGTGGGGCCGCTCACCAGAGAGGGATGTGTGGGCTCCTTTTCAGCACAGCTAAGGGGAGTTCCTAGGGCAGTTAGGTCATTTTAGCTACTATTTTCTTTTTTTAATTAATTGGCAATCATATTAGTACGTTTCTAATTGGCTAGGGATTGCAGGGGTGGGCTAAGGCTCTAGCTTTTCCATTCTTGGGCAAGTCTGGACAAACCCCAGTCTCTGTCCATATTTGGTTATCACCTGTTGGGGGCTGGGGGAGGTAGAGGTTTGGCCCAGGCCTAGAACTGCGGGAACTGAGGCCTAGTTCTTAGCTAGGTTAGGAGCCCGTCATGATATTTGCCTGGCCCTCTCAATATCTCGACTTATAAGTTAGTCCGACCAGGATTTGGAAGTTCTACAGTACAGGGGATCAGATGCCAATATTGCCAACCCAGCAGTTTTCTGCCTCACGAGTTCCGAGGACTCTGGCTTCCCATGCTTTGCTGTTTGTAGAATGGTTTCTAGAGACAACCTGTCTTGGAAAAAAACCAAAAAATAATAAATAAATAAATGAATAAATAAATAAATAAATAAATAAAATAAAATAAAATGTGTTTGCGCCGGGCGGTGGTGGCGCACACCTTTCATCCCAGTACTCGGGAGGCAGAGCCAGGTGGATCTCTGTGAGTTCAAGGCCGTCCTTGAATCTTTCCTGGAACTACCAAGTGAGTTCCAGGAAAGGCGCAAAGCTACACAGAGAAACCCTGTCTGGAAAAACAAACAAACAAACAAACAAACAAACAAACAAACAAACAAACGTGTGTTTGCTCGATTTGCCTTTGTTCCTGATGGTTAAAGTTTGGGTTCAAGTGCCTGTTCCCCGTTTTCACCGACAGCAGTGCTAACTCAGAGCGAGGTGAGATGGCCGTGTCTTCGATTTTATGTAGATGGACATAAAGATCTGAAGCTCCTTGTGGGTTTTTAAGTGACCTATTTTCATTGTGTCACTTAAAGACATAAACTGCTTTCTATACAAAGTTCGTTATCTTAGTTTTTATTCGTGATAACGTTTAATGTTTTTTGTTTCTAGTTAATAAAGAGAGCTTCCTTTTTAACATTACAACACTTCCCTTTAAGTACAACTTTTATCATTATCTCAGTATTTTTATTACATCCCTCACACTGTAATATACTTGTATTTGATAATTTCTTATAACTGTTGTCCCCACTCACTTACATTTTTTTAATCTGGTTGGTAGCTGCGGTTTATCCGATCTTGACTGAGCACTGCGAATTGACTGTAACCTTTCAGGGCTTTAAAGGTCACCAACTTGCTTTGTACAAGAGCTCAGTGTTGGCAGTTAGATTATCTAGTCAAAGTTCTTACGTTTTCCCCGAATGGAAACTAGCTAACTTTATAATGCACTTAATCTAAGTTCACGCTAACAATTAGGTTATTAAACTTTAATGTGAATCTTTAAGTTACCATACTAGGTTGTGTGCAGTGAGGCCCAGAGACCCCTCAACTTCAGGGAAAGCACATCTTTGGGTTGACCATGCTTTCTCATTTTACTTAGCTTGGACCCTTTACAAGATAGCCTTTTTTTTTTTTTTTAACTCAGAGAGCGTATGCACCGCTATTCTACGGCTTTGAAAAATGACCCTTTAAACATGCAGTTTCGTGCGAATTTGGAGCAAAGTAGGTGACATGATTTTAACCTGAATCCTTCAGTCTTCTGATGAGGATCTGGAGGCAAAATGAGCTCCCTCTGGTGGCTGGTCTCACCATGGCAATTCTCTTTAGTAGGAACGAAGTTGGAAATGTGTTCAATTTGATCCCAGTGCAGTGTCCTGCATGCAGTTGACTGTGAATAATTGTTTCCTTCCTCTTTGGTGCAATGAAAGTTAGAAAATTAAAAGACTCTAGGCAGCATTGCATCTAGCCCATATCCTTATCTTCAAGGACAAAATGTCAAAGACTGCCACAAGAGTAGAATCTCCTGCAATATTTCTTAGCTCGCTGACCCGTACTTAGTAAGTCAGCTCCAGAAAATGAGCAAATGTTTTCATTTAAATCCTGTTCTTGCTTATTCTCTTTGGAAAGGAAAATGTTTTGTGTATTTGTTTAGTTTTTCCATCTCATGAAGATGGCTGAAAAAACCTACTGTGCGATGATTATTCTTTAAATATATTTTTTGCAGCTTTAAGACAGAAATGGTCTTACTGCTATTTTAGCTTATCATGTTTCTAGAAAATCAGTAAAACTTGTTAGCAAATAGGTGTTCAGTAAGGAAAATGTGCATTTGAAGATGAGACGGTAGTGGTGATAATCAAGCAGCCATAGTCGGGGGTCAGGACAGTGGCCTTCAAGAGTCCCACGAGCCGCTGCTGAGGCTCATCAATAAACAGCTTTTACCTTATTAACACGCTGGTGATGCTGCAGGAATGTGGAAGCCCTTCACTCTGTTAAAACATTGTGGGCCTCACCTATGTGCTAACCCTCACTGAAAGTTTGTTACATTATGTAATCCTAATTTCTCCACAGAACTGTGGTGTGGTGCCCTCTTCCAGATCTTTGTCTTTCTCTTTTTCCCTGGAATAGCATTATTGAGAGAGCGTCTGTGTTGAGGCCGTGGAAATGCCTCACGTTAATTAACCGTGGCTGGATCTAAGCACAAGGCTCACATCAATATGAACAGAAGCACCACAGACCCAAGCTGTTAGAAAAGGCCTAGTTTCTCACTGCTGTTAAATGGGCCAGAGTCTCTGTTGTTTGCTAGTCTGTGTTATTTCTTTTCATACTGTATATTTTGATCTTATTCTTCCCCTCCGACAGCTCATCCTGGGTTCTCTCCCCACCAACCCACCCCACTTCATGTCCTTTCTCTCTCCCTTCCCTAGTCAAGTTCTTTTAAGAACAGCGGGACAGTCTCCGCCACTGCTGTCCTTACCACTAAGCTAGAAAACCGAAGGCCTGGTAAACCAGAAGGCTGCGGGAGACCGAAGTGAAGGCCTGATGTCTAAGAGCCGATAGGAGGAGTGCAGGCCAAGGCCGCATGCACAGACATGGCTGACTCTCACACTCCCAGCCAGTGAACTCAGTGTGGGCTTCTTCCTCCGTTTAGCTAACACCTTTCTGAGAGGTGGGCACTGTGCAAATCTTAACAGTACTCTTCTACTTCTCACCTCTTTAAAAATTATTTGTTTCGAGTAGCAGTGTAATATAGCAAAAAAAAAAAAAAAGGTTTTCTTTTTTCAATATCCTCTGAGAGGAGCATTGAACACAGAACTTTCCATATATAGTTTAATTTCACTTTTATAGTAGTACTATGGAAATGATGTCATTATTTCTGTCATGTCACTGGGACCTAAGGCTCACATTCAAAGTTGGTTCGTGTAGTAAGTTAGTAAACCAGACTTTGGGCATTGAATTTCTAGTTGTTGGCCCCAAAACATAATGTTCTTACCACTGGGCAGGACGGCCTAGGTGAACAGGTTGATCAGGGAGCATGGGGGCCTCTGCTGGGATGGCTTGTTACCCCCTGCGCCTTTCTAGATAGCATCGAGGCTGAAAACATTCACCTGCCATTTCAGACTTGGTCTGCACTTGCTCATCTCTTACTTGTGTGTTCGTGTCTTTTCTTCGTAGACTCTTCCCCCAGCTTCCTGCACTTTGCACACCCCCCCTCTCTCTCTCCCTGTAAAGCATTTTTAATAACCATGTGGTATTCTGTGGAGTAGCTTCAGTATTTCCCTTTATGGGGACGCCTGCCACTTCTAACATTTCAGTAATTTAACTGGTGTTTCAGAGAATACCCTGGATATTTGTAAATTCTTATATAAATGTGTCATTGCCATAGGGCAAACCTCTCTAGGTAGAATTTGGGGGCACAAAGGTGTATAGACACCCTTA